TGTGTTGCCGTGGTTATGATTGTGTTGCCGTGGTTATGATTGTGTTGCCGTGGTTATGGTTGTGTTGCCGTGGTTATTGTGTTGCCGTGGTTATGGTTGTGTTGCCGTGGTTATGATTGTGTTGCCGTGGTTATGATTGTGTTGCCGTGGTTATGGTTGTGTTGCCGTGGTTATGATTGTGTTGCCGTGGTTATGATTGTGTTGCCGTGGTTATGGTTGTGTTGCCGTGGTTATGATTGTTGTGCCGTGGTTATGATTGTGTTGCTGTGGTTATGATTGTGTTGCCGTGGTTGATTGTGTTGCCGTGGTTATGGTTGTGTTGCCGGGTTATGATTGTGTTGCTGTGGTTACGTGCATGATTGTGTTGCCGTGGTTATGGTTGTGTTGCCGTGGTTATGGTTGTGTTGCCGTGGTTATGGTTGTGTTGCCGTGGTTATGGTTGTGTTGCCGTGGTTATGGTTGTGTTGCCGTGGTTATGATTGTGTTGCCGTGGTTATGATTGTGTTGCCGTGGTTATGGTTGTGTTGCCGTAGTTATGATTGTGTTACCGTGGTTATGATTGTGTTGCCGTGGTTATGGTTGTGGCGAATTTAGAAGGCATTAAAGGGGTTAGTTAAAGGGGGAGGAGCAAAGAAGGAACCCTAAGCTAAGCCGATAATGGAGGGGGGGGTAAGGGCATGAGGGGGGTGAGGGAAGGTTAGAACAGGACCCCCCACAAGGGCATGAGGGGGGGGGTGAGGGAAGGTTAGAACAGGACCCCCCACAAAAAAATTACCTAGAATAACAGACAGACAGACATGACACTTAAGACCATAAGAGAAAAATAAACTCTATTGATTATTTATTATGTCTTATTTATCTTAGTTTACTTATTCCCTTCATTATCATCGTTTCTATGTCTGTATTATTTGTTTAGATTATTATCTGTTTACTCTTCATTATTAACACTAAACTCTATACATGACTTCACAAGGTAGGTATATACAGTACACACTATCTCCTTGTATGTACACAATATACTTGACTATCATACGTACATATAAGATCACACACCCTCATACGTACACACAAAAATACATTATTCATATGTACACACAAGATCACACACTCTCATACTTACATAGAAGAGCACACACACACACACACACACACACACACGAGGGAGTTTTTGTGGGGGTGCACATGATCCACCACACATGGGGGTTCGCTGAAGGAGGGTCAACTTACCAGGAGTTACATTACCCACAGCGATCAATATACGCGGTGACGCTGTAGTGCTGTGAGTTGGTCTTACAGGGGGTCTGTGTGGCTCATGATGGCGCTGTGTATGATGGCGTTCTGTATGATGGCACTGTGTATGATGGAGCTGTGTATGATGGAGCTGTGTATGATGGCGTTCTGTGTGTATGATGGCATGATGGCTGTGTATGATGGAGCTGTGTATGATGGAGCTGTGTATGATGGCGTTCTGTATGATGGCACTGTGTATGATGGAGCTGTGTATGATGGAGCTGTGTATGATGGAGCTGTGTATGATGGCACTGTGTATGATGGAGCTGTGTATGATGGAGCTGTGTATGATGGCACTGTGCTTGATGGCGCTGTGCTTGATGGCGCTGTGGTTGATGGCACTGTGCTTGATGGCGCTGTGGGGGAAGGGGAGAAGGAGTGGGTGAGGGAAGGGGGCGAGTGAGACGGAGGCATAGGTGAGAGACTTGGGTAGGAGGGGACAGACTAACAGACGGACAGACTAACAGACGGACAGACTAACAGACGGACAGACTAACAGACGGACAGACTAACAGACGGACAGACTAACAGACGGACAGACTAACAGACGGACAGACAAACAGACGGACAGACAAACAGACGGACAGACAAACAGACGGACAGACAAACAGACGGACAGACAAACAGACGGACAGACAGACATACAGACAGGAACTTAGTATATGTGTTTGTTTGAGGAGAATAATATTTACAAACACATTTTATCTCCTACCATACACAATCCTTTACCTCACTGGGATGAACCGCAGCTCACATCACCTGTAGACCTGACGATAATTATTACTCGCTCAGGTGCACTTTACCTGTGTGCTGACGGGTACAGGTTATCAGGATTCACCTCATGTATGGAGAGTAAATTCGTGTATTGTTTAGTTTGAGAAAGAGTTAATAGTAGTGGTTAGTAGTTGTGGTTGTTGTTGTTGTGGTAGTTGTTGTGGTGGTGAGTGTTGTTGTAGTAGTTGTTGTTGTTATTGTAATAGAAGCCTTAGGTAACTTATATTAGTAGTTATTGAATATAAAGGAAATTTAGCAATTTTTTTTTTTTTTAGTTATGGGAAGCTTTTGACAGTAGTAACACCTACACTATTTTATTTAGAATGAAAGAGGATCACCAGTATCGTACTAAACAAGGGATCAAGTGGCACTACTTGGCACCCTCGGCTCTATAAAGCAATGGGTGTCATATGGCACCAACCTCGCAGCAACAAATGGTAATAATTGGTTGTAAAAATGAATCAATGGTGTCGAATACAGTGTGTGTGATGGACGCTCTGTTCATTTTAATAACATCGATTTTTTCTTACGTTTAAGAGTTTTAGTGTAAATTTTAGTAAATCATCGGAGTAATACTGTGCGATAGAATTAATATGGAGGGGCATTATAACAAGTGGTTGAGTATTTCATTGTGATGTGGGAGGGGCCGTAACTGTGTGCTTCAGACAAAGGTTCATTTGAAGAAAACCTTTTGTTAGTTGCATCTGACAGTCATTACCGCTCACTTTTTTTACTCTCCGGTTACCAAGTCTCTCTCTGTTAGCCATTAATTATCTGAGTTTTGCATGGTGGAGCCACCGCCAGATACACACACACACACACACACACACACACACACACACACACACACACACACACACACACACACTCACACACACACACACACACACACACACACACACACACACACACACACACACACACACACACACACACACACACACACACACACACACTCGTAATAACCCGCTCAAGCCGACAATACACAGGGAATCTTATAAAGCCAGGCCGGGAACACATCTAAAACATGCGTTGTATACACTCTCCTCCCTCCCAGAGATGGGGCACAAAAAAAAAAATCCAAATTCCCATATTAATTGCGAGCATCAGTCAGCTGCATTCTCTGGCGGTACGTGGCATCTGGCACTAATTTGCATATGGCACTGCGGCATTATATAACATTTTGACAGCACCCCAGTGTCACCTGATCCCGCCCGGGCCAAAGAGAAAAAAATCCGCTCTCTCATTTACATACTTGGACAGCGTGTGACTAGGAAGGTTCTGTTCTTTCAAATTTTCGGGGATGGTTTTGGTGGCTACTAACAATGTGGGAATGTTGTTGTTACGGTCAATATTTGAGGTAAGTTTTGGGGGGGTGTGTGTGTGTGTGTGTGTTGGGTCGACTTTACCCTGTTGTCCCTCCGCTTGACTGAGTAGATGTCTTTATTGAGTAATTTAGTATGTGTTATGTAATGGAGCACCGGGTGATGCATCTGTACTCCCTGTTGATAATTTGTTGGGGAAACTTTCACTACAGGATTAAGTCAAGATAATTTGTTAAGGTTTCATTGGAAAATTAACTCGTAAGAATATATAATTTGTTGGGGAAATTTTCAGTAGATAATTAAGGTAAATATAATTCGTTCTGGTGTTATTGTATATAATTTGTTGGGGTAATTTTTATTAGAGGAGTAAGTAGAGATAATTTGTTAAGGTTTCACTGAAGAACGAATAGTAATAATATATGATTTGTTGAGCCTTCAGTAGAGGATAAATTAACACTAGATGATTTGTCAAAACTTGTAGCGGAGAAATAACTAAAGTAAAATATTAACTCAATAACACCTTCAGTAAATTAACTGTAAGACTTTCAGAACATTAAATAACTAATAAAAAAAAAAACCTGTAAAAAACATTAATTAACCCACAGGTGATATGAGATTAACAAACCTTAAATAAAACAATAAATTACTTCATCTAAAAATAAATTAATAATAAAATAATACAATCAAATACAACATTGATGACTGGAGATTGGCCTTCACTCTTCGTATTAAGTGTTGGGGGCCATTTTAAACAGTACTAATCACACAAACACACTTAACACAGACCAACACAAAGAGTGATAAACACCCCCATCACACGGGCGTTAACGAGGGATCAATAATAATAACATATGCGTAGAGAAGAATAAACTTGGGTAATATTCTGAGTGCTTCAATATCCAATACGCATAACCGCCCCTTAAGAATGCGTAAATTAGTCCTCAATTGTGTTCGTATGACTCTAGATGCGTCTATCCATCACTAAGATAAGCCTGGATCATGGATAACAAACTCAAAAGTCAATATCCATGACTCTATCCAACATCCAGATAGGTACAGAGTGGATAAGGGATAACATAAACTCAAGGTGAATATCCATCTAACACATCCATATTGATCAGGGATTTATCCACCACATATAGGGGGTCAGGGGTCAGGTAGGGGTAATATCCTGGCGTCATTAATAGGTCTTACTGATAAGCCAGGAAGGTAATAAGATGGTCTTGCAGGTATCAGATCCTGGAGTCAATATTATCTCTGTCTGTCTATCTGTCTGTCTGTCTGTCTGGAATTTCTGATCACTTTACATCTGTCCTGACCACTTCACACCTATCCTGACCACTTCACACCTGCCCTGAACACTTCACACCTGCCCTGAACACTTCACACCTGTCCTGAACACTTCACAACCAGTCCTGACCACTTCACAACCTGTCCTGACCACTTCACACCCGTCCTGACCACTTCACACCTATCCTGACCACTTCACACCCGTCCTGACCACTTCACACCTATCCTGACCACTTCACACCCGTCCTGACCACTTCACACCTGTCCTGACCAATAATTACGTCGTGATCATTAACCAGGTGTTGTTCTCTCCTTGTACAGGTATGTGGAGCTTCATCCTCGAGCTCTACCTCATCTCTAAAGCTTTTGGAAGCCGCTGAAGTAAGTTCCAGTCTCGCGTTTTACTTTATGGGGGCATGCGGAGTCTCTAAGGATTAAATCTACTACATTATTGTGTTCTCCCTCAATGTGTCTCAAAAGTCTCTCTTCTTGTGACCGGACTCTCAAACGTTCGTGCGTCTGTCTGTCTCCCCTACTCACCCTCCCCCCTCCCCCCTTCTTTTATTACTAATGTAGGAAAGACATTATGATTGTCTCAATGTAATACCGACGGCATCTTAAGTCATCTAGTTAAAATTATCTGAGAAATTTAATGGATTCTTATTGGTTTGTAAGTTATATCTTAAATGTCAAGAATGTGTTTAATTCGTTCATATAAATCAATGGTTGGAAGATGGCGGCGATATATTACAGAGACTTTACTTAATAATACAGAGAAAAAATATGCAAATGGACCCAGAAAGTAAAACTGTTCGCGTATTTTTTTTTACTTACAAGTTGTGATTTTTTTATTATTTTGTCTGTCTTTCTTTGATCACAATTGTGTTATTTATACTTCCGGTGATTTATTTACAGTGTGTTATTCCTTCCATTTCCTTAATAACGAATAACTTGTTTTTAACGCTAAGGTTTTGTTTTTTTTGGGTTTTTATTTCCTCTGGTTTTTGTTTTATTATTATGTTTCCCGGTATGGAATGAGGGGGGGGAGGGGGTATGTAACAGTCTCTTTGTTCATTCGCTGTCAGTCATTTAGTCAGTCCGTCAGTCTGTTCTTTCCTAACCTAACCTAACCTCTTGTTCCTCCTCTTCTTCCTACTTCTTCTCCTCCTCGTCCTCTTCCTCCTCCTCCTCCTCCTCCTCGTGCCCATAAAACAGTGTCTGCTTCCTTAACGTTTCTGTTCCTTCTCAACCTTTAGGCCATACTTCATTAGCATATGGGCGGCCCCTTCCCACGCCCATGACGTGGGCGGCCGTTGGGTGGCGGATGAGGTGGCGTTTTGACGTCCGCCTCCCTCACCTCCCTCCCCTCCCTCTCACTCCCTCTCTGTCTGCCTGTCTCTATCACTCTCTCTTGAACGTGGAGACCCAGACCCAGTTTCTAAAATGAATGTGGAGATGCGTGTGAATGTTGGTAGGCCTACTGGCTGTGTATAACTGTGTATGTATGTATTTATGTGTGCGTGTGTGTGTGTATGTGTGAGTGTGTGTGTATGTAATGGATAGGCTGACATATTTTTGCCTTGGGAGGAACAGTGTGATAAATTATGTATACCAGAGGGAGGCAGGTGACTCAGGCTTCTCTTAAACCCAGCCACCAACAATGGATTACCATGCACTGAAGTCACGGAGAGAGAGAGAGAGAGAGAGAGAGAGAGAGAGAGAGAGAGAGAGAGACGCCCCCCTCTCTCTCTCTCTCGACGTCTGAGGTTAAGTTCCAACCAAGTCTTGAATACCAGAAATATTTCCATCAATTGACTTTGATGTAATAGAGACGACGACGAAAAAATGCGTCAGTGGGGGAGAGTTGGGAGAGTGTGGGGGGTGAGTGTGGGGTGTGTGTGTGGCGGTGAGTGGGGTGTGTGTGTGTGGGGTGGAGTGTGGTGTGTGTGTGTGGGGGGGTGAGTGTGGGGTGTGTGTGTGGGGGGTGAGTGTGGGGTGTGTGTGTGGGGTTGAGTGGGGTGTGTGTGTGGGAAGAGTGTGGCGGTGTGTTTGGGAGCGTAGGATATTTGTGTGGGGGAGTGACCAAGTGTTTGTCCATTCCGACCTCCCCTCTCCCATCTTCTCTCCTATTCTTCTCCCTCCTCTCATCTCTTCTCTCTTTTCCCCTTTTCCTTTTCCTCCCCTCTTCTCCCCTCACAAAAGTACCCTGACTCCATCAACCTCCTCCCCAAAAGGTTATACACCACCCCCTTTACCCCTTTCCCCTCGTTACCCATCAGAACTACCCCTCTGCCCCTCGCTCCTGTCGTAAAGGGTTACAATCTTTCCCATCTTCTCCCCTCTTTCCCCTTGGCTTCTCTTCCTTTGCTTCCCCTCGACCCTATCTTCTCTACCCTTCTCCTCTCACTACCCCTATCCCCCCCCTCTAACCCAGTCCACCTCTTCTCCCCTCCCTTTACCCCTTCCTTCCTCACTCCTCTTCACCCCCCAGGAATGGTGACTTAAATTGTTATATATGACTTCCATAGCTGTATTATCCAAATTTCCCAGTTGCGAAGAACGTATATTATGTGAGGGAGGGACAGGGGAGGAGAGGAGGAGGAGGAGGAGGGAGGAGGAGGAGGAGGAGGACAGTTGGATGGAGGAGGAAGAAAGTGATAAAGAAGATAAGAATAGGAGTGAAAGAAGGGAAAAAAATAATAATAATAATAATACAACAACAACAACTACAATAATGATGATGATAAAGAAATAACCAAAAAAAGAACAAGTAGAAGAAGAAGAACAACAACAAACAATAATGACAAAAAAAACAATAACACTTAAAAACAGGCATATACAAAAACACATGATCTAAATATACGAAACTAAATAAAAAAAATAAAAGATAATTGTAGACGCACAAGACAAACAAGGAACAGACGATAATAAAAGACATTAAGATTAGAGAGAATAAGATATACCACATAAACAAAGGAAGGTAAATATACGGAGGCGGGTCTGGCAGTGACACAGGTGGGGAGGGTGAGGAGGGGAGGGACGGTGTGAGATTATGAGAGAGAAACGAGAGAAGTACAGATAGATCAGAAGAGATAGAAAAAGAGAGAGACAGAGATGCAAAATAAACTGGAGAGGAAAGAGAGAGAGAGAGAGAGAGAGGTGGAGAGAGAGAGGGGGGAGAGAGAGAGAGAGAGGAAAGAGGAGAGAGAGGGGAGAAAAGGGAGAGGGGAGAGAGAGAGGTCGAAGAAACTTATTCCCTGTGAAGTAACCACCTGGCAACATTTCTACCTGTGTCACTCATTAATGCTATGTGTGTGTGTGTGTGTGTGTGTGTGTGTGTGTGTGTGTGTGTGTGTGTGTGTGTGTGTGTGTGTGTGTGTGTGTGTGTGTGTGTGTGTGTGTGTGTGTGTGTGTGTGTGTGTTGTTTTTTTATTGATAATTATAGTTATTTTGGTAAATTTTAACGTGTATATATTATGAAGGCTAAATAGTGTGTTATATACTTTGTTATTATTATTATTATTATTATTATTATTATTTACATATTATTATTCTTATTATTATTATTATTATTACTATTATTATTATTAGTCATTATTATTATTATTATTATTATTATTATTATTATTATTATTATTATTATTATTATTACTATTATTATTATTATTATTATTATTATTATTATTATTATTATTATTAGTATTATTATTATTATTATTACTATTATTATTATTATTATTATTATTATTATTATTATTATTATTATTATTATTATTGTTATTATTATTATTATTATTATTATTATTATTATTATTATTCCTTCTCGTGATTAACATCCCCATTCTCATCTCTCTGGCTTGCAATATGGCGACGAAATTCCACTGTGACTCCAGCTGATCACTCGAGGCGTTCTTTTATCTTAAGTTAAGTGAGGTGGAAAATTTAACCTTACGAACGCTTGGGAATTGACTCGCTTAAGACCCACTAAAGCTTATAACACCGTGTGGAGGAGGGAGAGAGAGAGAGAGAGAGAGGGGGGGAGAGAGGGACGGTGTTTGGTGAAATAAGGGAGTGCGGATGGTGATAGAGCGAGCCGTTAATGGTGATATAGTGAACTAGTTAAGATGAGATCGGTATTGCTATTGTAAACAGAGTGTAACTAGGCACCTCAGGGCGGTTGAGTGGCATAGCGCCGCGTTTCGATAATGATAATGATGGTGTATATAAGATGGTGTGTGTGTCTCTCAACGGGGATAGTGATGATGGTGATGGTGCAGCGTTTAGTGGCGTTGTTTAGCTGGGTATAGATGGAAGTAACCCTAGACTTGGCGTTGAGGGTGTGGTTGATAGCGTTGACGTGGAGATATCGCTGGTGGCGTTAGAACTACTATTACTGGCGATGGCGTTGTCCGTGGTCAGGATGGGGTGGGTGAGGTGGTGGGGAAGGTGAGGTGGTGGGTAGGGATGGGGGGTGGGTTGGGGAAAGGTGAGGTGGTGGGTAGGGATGGGGGGGGTGACGCATCTGGGTAGGGAAAGGTGGGTGGTAGTTTTGGTGGTGATGGTGGTTGATGATAGTAGTGGTAGTTAAGGTGGTCTTAATGGTGGGGGTGGTGGTAATCGTAATAGTGGTTGTAATGGTGCTTGTGGTCATGATGGTGGTAGTGATGGTGGTTGAAATGGTGGTCGTGATGATGCTGGTGGTCATGATGGTAGTAGTTATGATGGTGGTAGTGATGGTGTTGACGGTAGTTGGTAAAGGTGCTGGTGGTAGTCGTGATGGTGGTCCTGGTGGTGGTGGTGGTAGTAGTGGTGGTGGTGGTGGTAGCGATGCAAGTCAGACAGATTGCCTCAATTGGTTGAGTTAGTCACCCACACAAAAACATGGAGGATGGCGATTGGCTGGAGGTGGTGAGAGGAGGTGGGGGAGGTCGAGGACGAACACGAGGAAGAGGAAGAGGTAAAGGGGAAAGCAGGAGGAAGAGGAGGAGGAGAAGGAGGAAGAGGAGGAAGGGGACAAAAACAAGGAATAGGTAGTAGGAGAAGGAAGGGAATGAAAAAGAACAGGAAGAAAGAGAAGGCAGGAGAGAAAAAAGAAGTAGATCGAAGAGAAGCGAGAAGGAGCAAGTGAGGGATGAGGAAGAAGAAGAAAGGGAGGAGGAGGAGGAGGGAGAGGAAGAGAAGATGAAGTTTAAAAACAGAAGAAGGAAAACGTAATAAGATGAAAAATATAAAAGACTGAAGAAATTATGTTAAAGAGAGAGAGATAGAGAGCGAGAGAGAGAAAGATAAATGGTGGATACAACACACATGCTTGGTATAGTTGGGTTGGGTCAGACGAAGATAAAATTAACCTTAAAGAACAAATAAATAAATGGAAGAGAAGGGAGAATATTTTATATCTGTCAACATAGATGTGAGAGATGAGAGAGATGAGAGAG